TGCTCTCGCGCGCAACAATGTCGATCACGCTCACACTAACCGGTAAAAGCAGCGATCTCGCGGTGAGTTACTATCTACCTATCGATCTGAGCGATGGAGTCTACAAACTCGGTCTTACAAACTTCGAATCTTACAACACGATACCAAACGTCGACTCTACAAACAAGTTTTACTTTGACGATAATGACAAAACGGTTACGATTCTCGTGGGTTCGTACGAATTGCGCACCCTTGCTCGTTTTTTGAACACCGCTGTGCTTTGCAGACGTCGACAGCGAGAAACAGGCGAGACGACGACGACGAGAGTTAACAACGATGATGTTTACGATATGTTCATTAACGACGACGATAACGATGTGGGTGACAAGAGCGCGTTGATACTTCGCGCCAACAACAACACCATGCAAAGCNAGATCAAGTGCATTTATTGAGTCAATTTTTCTAAACCCAACAACATCGGCTCGCTGCTCAGTTTCTCATCATCGCGCATTTTGAAACTTAACCAGTGGTACGCGTCCGACAAACCGGTGAACATCATGAACGTGAAGGTGATTNGCGTGGAATGCAATATTACCGCGGGAGCGTATAGCAACGAGCAACCCGTGCACACGATACACGAAGTCGCTCCGAACGTGCCGCCGGGATATAAACTGTCGGAGACGCTGCGTCAAATCATTTACCTCCCGGTCCTCGCGAGAAACGTTACNGACATCACGGTGCGCATAGTTGATCAGAACGGTCGATTGATCGATTTTCACGGCGAAACGATAACGGTGCGCTTGCACGTGCAGAAGATACGCGAGTAATCGACGCCGCGCAGCGAGGGAGGAAAACAAAATATGCTTGTCGTGATCGCGTCGAGCGAACGAGATTGTTCTTCCGTTTTCGCGACTTCGTCGCGCGATCGTTCGACGTTGACCGCGCAAAACGCAACGTTTTCGCGTTTGTTGGGTTACGCAGTAGACGACGGTGACAACAACAATGAACGACGTACTCAGCGTCGGCGGTGAACCACACGTACAATCCGTACGCCAATACATCGTTTGGTCACAGCGACGAGATACGCATACTCATTCAACAACAAGATGTATACACTTTGCCATACGACAGTTACTTATACGTCGAGGGAAAGTTCAGTCTACAAATCACCGCCGGGGCAGCGGAAGGAAGCGGCGCGGTTGCCGCCACCGCCGCGTTGACGAACAATTGCGTGGCGTTTATGTTCGATGAGATCAGGTACGAGCTCAATGGTGTGGAAATTGATCAAAATCGCAACCCCGGTGTAACGAGTACGTTAAAGAATTACGTGTCTCTGAAACGGGAAACGCTCTGCGACACGCCGGTTGGAACTTGTCCACAAATAAATGTGTTTGCGAAGTCAATTGTTGCGTAACTCTCCGCACATTGCTGGGATTTTGAGAGGACTACAAACGCGTGGTGATCAACGCGCGACACAAATTAATTCTGATACGATCAAACAACAACAGCATTTTTGCTTCGGCCACCAGCGAGTCAACGGTGGAATTGCACAAGGTGCAGTGGCAAATGCCGCACGTTGTGTTAAATGATGTGCACAAATTGAAGTTGTTGCGCACTCTGGAGAACGGTCGATATTTATCCATAGGATTTCGCTCGTGGGATCTATACGAGTACCCGCTGTTACAGAGCACGACGTCTCATTCGTGGGCTGTAAAAGCGGCTACGCAGTTAGCGGAAAAGCCGCGTTACATCATTTTTGCGTTGCAGACCGGTCAAAAGAATGTTGTCAGCCGAGATTGCTCGCGGTTCGATCATTGCAACTTGTCCAACGTAAAGTTGTTTCTAAATTCGGATTTTTATTTTTACGACGACTCGAATCTGGATTTTAGTAAGGAACGACACGCCGTGTTGTACGATATGTACGTAAACTTCAGAAGAGTACTACGGACGCGACGAGGACGAGGCGCTTCTAACATTGGACAAGTTCCTCTACTGCGGACCGCTCGTGGTTATCGACTGTTCGCGCCAAAACAAGATGGTCAAGAGCGCCGTTAACGTACGCATTGAATTCAACTGCAAAGAAAATGTACTTCCGATACAACCGTGTACTGTCTGATCATACACAATTGTATCGTCGAGTACAATCCGCTGACCAGCGTTGTGCGACGAATCGTTTAGAGTAGTCGCTTTTGAACGATCAACGATGTCGCACGCTTTGTCGTCAACGTCAACGACGATGTCCAGCTTGCCGTGTTCCTCGGTGGACATACCGATATTCGTGGATCTTCAAGGTTTTGTGATTGGAGATAACAACTTTATAACAAAAGAAGCGGCAATACTTGGGAACAGACGCGAGCTGATTTACCATGTGTTTCGAGAACCTATGTAGTGGAACCTGTTGACAAAAGCGGAGCAAACGCGAGCGTGNTGGCTCACGGTCAACAGTCACAGCCTGCATTGGACCGATGAAATGGTAGATTATCAACGTTTGAAACCGCTGCTTCAAAACGTTGAGCGCGCCGAACGATGGGTCTGCACTAGTGTATGTAAAGATGCCGAGAAGAAGCAGTGGTTGAAGAAAATCGTTGGTGACTTACTCAACGATTGTGACATCATTATCGAGACCATCGACGCCGACTACGAGGACATCGAAAGTCTGCGAAATCTCGACGATTCGCGAGTCTTCAACTGCGGCAACCNGAGACATTGCGTTATGNAGAACGTGTGTAAACTATACGCGTGGTCAGCACGGAACGATGTGTTGAGCGATTTGTGACGTCTTTGTCTATAAACTTATATATATATCTTATGACTTAAGATTTTTTGTTTTTTTCCAATTGTATGTATTGTTGGCAAAATAATAAATACTAATATGAATCTAATGTGTATGGTTTTTTGTTATACTTCAATACGTTTATATCACAGAAGTATTGTTTTATACATATTTTACACAATGCATTGTAATAATTTTTTTTATTCAGATATAGAGGGAACGATAAACAAACATGTACACTCTACTATGAGCAATATCTTTCATTATTATTATTAAGACAAGCTTTTATATTAATCATACATGTAGTATATACATAGATTTTTTCCTTATATATATCTACAACAGGAAAACTCTCAAATATTTATAATAATAATTAACTTGGCACGCCTAAAACCGGGTTTTCATCTTGGATCCGTTGTTGTACGTATTTCCCATCNTGAATGATGGCTTCAGAGCTATAAGTCATTGCTACATCTTTGCCACACACATAGATTTGATGGTGTATGTTAAATCTATAAAAAACACAACAGCACACATATTATTATATATAAGTGTACTATATGCATTTATTGTTATTTAATTTATTTACTTTTATTTGCTTTATTTAAGTCATTTAATTTATTTAATTTATTTAATTTATTTACTTCATTCTATTTCTTTCATTTGTTTAATGTATGTAATACTGTAGTTTACTTACAATTGCTGTAACAATATCGCCTCTTTGGTAGAACTACACGTGATTATGAAAAAGTATCCGCTTCGTTGTTCTGCGGATATTT